CATAGCCTTGCACATCCTCTCTGTTGACAACAATTTGAATAACACGATACCAAACCTCTTCGGATACGTAATCACCAGCAATTCGTATCAGCTTAAGGATAACATCAACATACCAAGTATAATCCGTAGCATATTTTTCAGCCAAAATTGCAACCTTCAGCACCTGGAAGAACCGAATAATGACGAGATAAGTATTTGGGACTACAAAAAAAAAAACAAATAGTCAAACATTGTCCAGAAATGAAACTGGAAATCGGAAAAGGATTAACTCACCATCTCTTCTCGAATAGAATAATCAGCAGTTTCAAGATATGATAACATTTCGAAAACAATTTCTGCAGCATTTGATCTGGAAATGTGTAGAATCAACAAACTTCGTGCCATCATAAATTTTCATTATAATGATTAAACAAATCGTTTTTAGTAGGATTTCAATTCATTCAACTTACCGATCACACATAGCATACAGTAAATCAACTGCTCGTTGCCGAACTGAGACATCTCGTTCAGTTTTCAAACTATTTATGATTGTTTCTTGATGCCTTTTTACAGCTTCATGTGAAAATTCTGAAGTTGCCAGTAAACACATTGACTCCAAAGCAAGATACCTACAATTACTAATGAAACTCAATGATAAACAACTTAGGCTGGAAAGTAGCAACAACAATGGGTGAAACATGGGAGGAAATCTCAAGATTGCCCGTTGGTCACTAAGGCACACCTCTTTTTAGATGGCGTACATGCAAACTGAAAATAGCGAGGTATGAATCTTCCGAATATGAACTCCAATAATAATCGTTCAAAGATTTATTGCAGTTCTCCATGGTTAGCTATCTGCACTTATTAAGCATATCAAACAAAACCACTGGTAAAAAAAGCCAAAAGAATTTCAATTCACCAACCTCAAATTTGTCTCACGATGGGACAGAAAAGTGCCTAATTGATTGCAAGCTCGAACCAGCAAACTTGGCTCCGTATCCATATGAATGATCAGAGCAATTGATTCAAACAGCACTGCGTTTTTAGCATTTGAATGTTGTACTTTTTTGGACTTTGGAGCATCCATGGCTTTATTCAAGATTCCTTCCAGACATTCCATTAAACGAGATTTGTTGCTTGGATCTTCTGTAATTTATCGACAAGACTGTTTTACTGCACACTGCGACCCACCAAGACGTAACAGCATATAAAGTTTAGTGAAACCAGAACGACAACTCACCTGGCGGTGGGTAATTTTGTAGTAATCTCAATAACTTCACACAAAGCCAAGGTGCTGGTACAAAGTAATAAGTATAGTCTTGTAAGTCGGTGTAACCTGCAGTTACGATCTGCAATAGATTTTCTAAAAGTTATACAGTTATTCCTGCAGAACCTGATACAGTGCATTATGTTGACGTTATTTTACATAATTTTGGAATAAAATGACACCAGGTTTCCCAAAGTTGGCAGTTTGAAAAGTCAAACTGAAACTTATAAAAAGCTTACTCGACTTAACCTTGAAATAGCCAGCGAGATACATCCTTTATATTCGTCCGGCCATTTTTTGGACAGTGCTTCAATTAGCGAAGCAGCTGATGTAACAACACCCTAAAAATAATTTTAGCTGCAAATACGAAGCTCGAAAGTATATGAATGTGAAAATTTAAAGGATCTAGGTGAAAGAAAAAGAAAAATAAAAATAGTCCAAAGTCCGGAAAGCGCAATGGTGAAGTCCTCAAAATAGAAGTGTAACATGAAATACTAAAACTATACCAAATGCTGGTCATTTAATAGATGAACAATACGAGAGGAAAATTCGCTGGGCGGTAAAACATCCGGGCATATCCTGAATAGTTTCAGCAAGCATAATGCTGCGCTTTGTTTCACAAAATCGATTGTATCCCTGAAATAAAGTAAAAAGTAGAACCACCATGCTATTAACATCCTTTTTTTCAAAAATTTAATTATGTCAGTGTTAAACATATGAAATTATTGTCCTGTGAAGGGAAAGTCCCAGAAACAATAACGGATGCAACAATTCCGAAAAATGTGTGGGACCAAGAATTTAAAACAGCAAAGTTTCGGATCATAACAAAAAACGATCACCCAGAAACCAGCAATTTTGGTAAATCTTGAGCAAATGCCTCAGCCATGTCCTTACTACCAATGTTTGAAATGCATTGTAATGCCAAATTGACATGAACAGGGTTGCGTGACTGGAGATCATTCTTTATTGATTGAATAATCAATTTGATCAAGTCGGAATTATTATTTATCAGTACCGAAATGAAAAGGTAACCCTGAAAAAGAAAGTAATAAACAAACAATAAGGAAAGAATCCAGCTGGCCCCATAAAAGAAATGAAAGTACGAATGCTTCCCATCCAAACAGAATTTTGTCCTGGGTGAAGTTATCCACTGTCACATTAATAACTCAAAAATAAACGAAACTTACAATTTGTTTCTCAGTGTACTTATTTGAACTTAATAAATTTGTGGCTTCCATATGGCCGAAATCAATATCATTGCCCAGAAGAAAGATGAACAGGAGCTTACAAACATATTTCTTCTTCTGGTAACCATCAATCATTTTATCACCTATAGAATGAAATTTTTAAATGCCAAATTTTCACACAACATTACCTAGATATTGTAGGAATTTGAATTATAGGATTGTAACTTTAATCAATTTCGAGTCAGAAGCAAATACTAGATACCGGTTTTAGTGGAGTAGACGAAATACGGTGTAAATATAGGTTTTTTTTTTAACAAATAACAAATATGAAAATATTTCATGAAAAAAAAAGAGAATATTGAACACTTAAACAAATAGTGGAACCAGATTCAAGTTTTACCAAATAATAGGTATATTTACACCTATGTCATTCTCCGTATGAAAAAGTAAAATAGAAAATAAAGAGTGTGAGAAACCTTTAAATTTGCTGCGAATATTTGCCAATTCTCTGTTGATCCGTTTCAATTCTGCTTCCTTACTTTTACAGTTCCGAATATCCGAGATAAAAACGGCAAGGCCGCGCATTCCATCCCCTTTGACGGCAGGCATTTTTGACTGCTACACAAAGCAGCCAATATTATTAATTACCTTTCACTTTCTTCCACGCTTTTTACCTAATAGAAAAGACAGAAAATATGGATGAAAGTACTTACTTTTCTAAAAAAACCTGAAATTTTCAACTTTTTTTTGCCTTTAAAAAAAAAATGAAGCAAGTAACTGTACAAATTAGAATGTCACAACCATGACGAAATGTTTGGACCAATTCGAAACGGTTATATTTGAAAAAAAGAACAGCTACCTATGCAACGCGACGTCCCGACCTTCGGAACACCACCCGAGAATCCCACAAGATCCCAGTGCAATCAAGGCCAAGTACTGTCAATACAACAGGATGTCGCCCGATTTATTGCCTTTCCCGTGAATGTCCAATACAAGATACCGTATCAAAGTTATCGTTGCAAAAAGCAGTGATTAGTAACAGCTATATAATTTGTGTATTATTGTAAATAGTTGTAGTATAAACAAGCAAATAAACGATATTTTAAAAAATTGATTATATGACAAGAATAGAAGAAATCAATAAGAGAATAAGGGAAGTGAGTAAATATTAGCGATGTTTTTGTTTTTTTCTTTTTTTGTTGACTGATATCATTTGTCTATAAGACGTCGAAGTAAACAATTGACGAAAACAAATCAATAAGGAAGTAAAATCCAATGGAAGTATATCAATAATTCAAAAAATGGATACTTCTACGTTATCATATGCTTAAATATTTAATGAAAAAAAGCACATAGAAATCAATTTTTCGATCAAATATCAGATTTCCGACAAAAAATATTTATTAATTACAAAAATTAATTTCCCTGTATATTCACATGATATTGTTATCAAATATAATAAATTAAATACCATTATGAATTATTGTTTCAAATTTCACTAAATTTAGATATATTTAAAGATAAGCATTTTTTTCTCTTTTTTTTTTTTCTTCAAAAAGAAATCATTTCGTAGATTTTCCCAATGAAATTGCTCATAAATAATCAAACAGTTTTAAAAATTTAAAAATTCGTTTTGCAATTTCCCTTTTTTTTTGTTTTTAAAAAATTCCAAAAAATTGGATTTTTTTTTCCTTTAAAATTTTATAAAACAATATGTAAAAGAAGGAATGTTCGATTTGTTCGTTGTTCGTTATAATCTAGCTAAACTAAGTAAGCATATGCTCAAAATGATGGAAGAATGAAAATATAAAGATGACAACGCCCTAAATCGATGGCAATTTCCGTTGATATTCATTGTTGAAGAGAAATATTTGGGCTGAAGCATTTTTGATCGCTTTTCCAAACGAAAGTATTTTTAGCATTTAGTTTTAGCATTAACGATCGAAACAACAACAACAACCCTAATTCGGCTAATCTATTTTCCATCAAGGGAATATTTAAAAAATAGTTACAAATATTTGATTTAAAAAAATAAGAAAAAAAAGAAGGAAAAAATAGAAAAGAAAAGGAAACGAAAGAAATATGAAAATTTGATTGTATTTTCCAAATAATTTGTTAATAATGTAAGTGTGTGTGTATGTGTGTAAGATGGATATATAATTGATTTCACAATTTCACAATCCTTTTTTTTTTTTTTAAATTTTACATGATGACCTTCACATATATTCTTTATCCTTTGTTATTTTAATTATAAGATTTTTATTCATTAGAAGCTAATAAAAATTTGAAACATATAATGCATATTATTAATTTATTGATTAGAATTTTTGGTATTTTTCAGTAATAAATTACATGTTTCAAATATTTCAAAAAATGCATTTGCCAAAAAAATAAAAAAAAAAGAAGGTTATCAATATCATTGTTATTTATTATCACTATTATCGTTGTTATTATTATCATTATTATCATCATTATTATACAGCAAAAAGATGGATAAAAATGAATTAATTAAATGAACAATTTTATTCGCATAATTATGATTATACATTAATTTTTCAAATTAAATTTTATATCTTCTGTTTCGTATAGATCACTCGAGTATGCTCCAGATAGCCTTGTGTTGGATGTGTTGCTGTTCGCATCTCAATTATTTGCTCCAAATACTGATCGTCATGTTTGATGAATGTTCGTCGTAGCTAATATTTGATAATTGATAAAATTTTAATTCCAATTAATTATTATGCATAGTTTATTGTTTATTAAAAGTCTTATTTGAAATGAAATTAAAATTATGAATTGAAATTAATAATTTTTTTTTTGTATGATTTATAATCTTTAATTTCCTTCCTTTTTTTTTTCTTTTCTTTTCTTATCCAATTAAATACTGTATTAAATGTTTATAAAAATGCTTACAAATATTCAAAATTTAAACATATCAAATGATTTCAATAAATTAAACTAATATTTTATACTAAATATAACTAACATATAAGGAACTAACATTTATACTAAATATAACTAACATATAAGGAAAAAGAAAAAAAGATGAAAAATTGAACAAATGTGATAGCTATGATAGCTAAAAAGACTTACATCTTCAACTGGAAGATCCCTTGAGAATGAAATCCTTCCAATATCTTTCAGTGTTAAAATCATCTTATTTGGTGCAACTTGTCCCACTTCATAAGTTGTAAATCCTATATATATATATTATAAATTTTTAATTACTAATATAAACATGAAAAAATTCAAATTAAAAACTAAAAACATATAGATATATACATACATTTTTAGTGTTAAAAATCAGAAATTTGACATGCTCTTTTTTCCTCCTCCTCCTCCTCTTTTTCTCCCTTCCCCTCTCTCTTTCTCTCCTTTTAATAATTCCTAATTATTGAAAACAATTTGACGACCGTTATTTCCGGCTGTCATCAGTGTAGCATTACCAGACGGATCCACTGTAATAAAGCCCCATTCATCATGAAAATGATCTTTGGTTGTATGCGACCATGCACGTGCACTAAAAAAAAAAAAAAAAATAGAAAGTTAATTATCAAATGAAAATTAATAATCACATGAGAAAATATAAATTTTCCATAAATTTTACAATTTTTTTTTCCTTGCAATTATATCCTTCCCTCGTATTTTATCGATTTTCAAGTAATTGTTGCTGTTTAAAAAAATAATTATGCGATCTCGTTTTAATTGTTTCTTTTTTTTTCCTTTTCAAAAAAATAATTTTAAATCAATCATTAAAGATTAATTGGTAAATTAATTTTAATGGGAGAGGGAGAGGAAAAAAAAAGCAAACTAAGTAGAAATATTATATTGTTTGCTTGTTTATTCTCTCAATATCAAGGACTTGTTTGGAGAAAGAATGACGTGATGATGCGCAAAAGGGATTTTAAAAAAAAAAAGGAAAAGAAAAAAAAAGGTAAATGAGAAATAATCGAGAATTTGTGACATTTAAAAAAAAAAATAAAATAAAGGGAAAGAATTACAGCAAAATTATAGATTAGAAATAAGTTGTTATGATCATCTATTATAAAATGAATGAAAGTGTTCGATGAGAATATTGCTGGGACGGAATTAGAAATGCTGGTAATGAAGAAGGAAATGAATATAAATGTTGAAAAACTGGATTTTAATTCAATTCAATTCAATTCAATTCGATTCGATTCGGTTCGGTTCGATTCGATACGATTCGATCTAATTTGTCATTTTAATTTGTGTTAATGGATCATTGATGTTGGTGTCAAATCTTTTCGAAGCAATGATTGATGTTCAACGACAATTTTAGATTTATTTGGGTTATAGTTGGTGAAGCTTAAAATACAAAAAAAAAAAGAATAAAAATGCATAAACTTAGTAATAACGAAAATTTCAATCTTTCTGTAATTATTTCTGAAAAAAAAAAAATCAATTAATCAACATTTCTGATTCATAATTCATTCCTTTTAAGGCTTTTATAAGCGATGCAATACGTGAATTTCTGATTGGTTAAAACAGGACAACAAGCACTAGAGAGAGTGACTATCGTGTAAATAGATTAACGATAACTGGACGATATCAAGTATAAATAATTATTTCATTAATATGCTGAATTCAGGAGAATGGAAGTTAACACTTAGTAAGGATAAAATTATGGGAATGATTACAGAAAATTTTTTCAAGTAGCAGGAAAAAAAAAGTCACCACATACTAATTTACTATTTCGAACTGCAAAATGAATCGTTTGGTTTAACTGAAATAAAAAAAAAAAAGGAAAAGGATTCATCAATACCACAATTATACCACTCGATTGTAAAAACTGAGCTTTAATTAATTGTCACATCACTATCCAATATGTTTTATTTTAATTTGACAAATTATATAATCTACAATTCATATGTCAACTATGGATTTCTGAATTCAGCAAAATTGTTTATAATTTCATAAAGTTACCAATTTTAAATGTTAGGAAATTTTATATGAAATATACATTATGAAAGATAAGCTATCATTGATAAGTGACATTTTATCAAATAATATGCGAGCAAATTTCAAGTGAAATAATTTTTACAACTAAGAATTGGAACATATAGAAAGGATTAATACTTTATTAATAGCTTTCTGCAATTTTACTTCATTGACATAAGAGCCAAAAAGCTCAAAGTTTGAGTTATATAATTTGAGGCAAATATTAATAATGGAATTGAGGAGAAGCTTAATATCGACCATATTGATGATATGATATGTTTATCAGAGGTTTATTTATGAATTTTTGGTGCATGTTTAATTCCAATGGTAACTTACTTTTAATCAATAAATGTTTGCAAAATTATGATATGTTATATAACAAAACTAACCTGAAATTCAAAAACTGTACATTAACGGATTTGGCAAGTGGTGCCTCTGCAATAATCAACTCTTCACCAAATGTCATTGTCGGTACTGTTGGCCAGAACACCTGAAGAAAACCGGAATATAATGATGGTTGCATATATGAATGTATATATGTGTGTGTGTGTGTGTGTGTGTGTGTGTGTGTGTGTGTGTGTGTGTGTGTGTGTGT